TTATGAAATGACCAACTCTTGTGATAAGTCACATATATGGAGGGGGCAGGTACACTGGTAGGGTGAAGTAACAAAAAACATTTTAACAGAAGCCGCCATTAGATCATCCTTCTTCCTTGTTGCATGGAAAATCCCTCCTAAATGTAACAAATCACACAGGCTGTCTTGCTACAGATATGTAATAGGAACACAATCATCCATGTGGCAATAACTTGAGCCACTAATGGATAAGCCAAATATATCACCAAATCCACAAAAAATTCCTCACCGGCAATAGGGAGCATCAAATTCTGCACAGATGTGTGCGCGTGCAATACTTCTTACCCCAGAAAATGTTTGGGGAGGAATAACCATGTGTTCTCAGAAAAACATGCTCCCAAAATTAAAGAAAATAAACCCTATATGTTTTGCTCCAAATCAGAGCTTCATCAGGGGTGAAGTAAAGTAAAAAGAAAATAGAGTGAGCAACAAAAATAGAATGATTTTCAGGTCACATGGTGTGGCAATGGTGTTGATCCTTTGTTTTCCCTTATTTATAGAATGGCCAGCCAAAATAGCCGCCACGCACATGATGCAATGACGTCATTAAACGAATGACATGACGCCATCATTTCCACACTAACTTCCACATATGCTCAGTGTGGAAGTAGATCACCATCTTGAGGATGAAAAATAAATACCAAATCCAGCATCACAATACAAATTCACTGGACTTGAACAAGTCTCAGGGGAGGGAGAAACAGGAAACAAGCCCCTTACATTTCTACTTACACAGATGTAATTTTCATAGGGTATTTCCACCATAATCCCATTATTTACTCTGACCACAGTTGATTACATCAGACCAGTGAATATTACAGTGATGTCAAGGATCATCCTCTAAAATTGTCAAACAGTTCATACAAATATCAAAAAACGGAAAATCAAGACTGCATTATCAGAAACACTAACCATATACAAAAGAGCAAAAAGGTAAAAACCCTAATTTAGCCCATACAGTGTCTGAATTTAGGCAAAAAATCCTCTTTGGCCTCAAGTTTAAAAAGGCATTTGTCTAGATCCCCCTAGGCCAAGGTTGAATTGCTCAATAATCCAGAACTGAACAATTCAACTCAACCACTGTTTTTTGCAAGCACATACCTAGCAAAAGATTTTTCCCTTTTTTGTCAGCCAATGTCAATGATGGTTTTGTTTTTTTTGTTTTTTTTTAAACGGCGGATACTGGAGCATGTCAAACGATAGTTTTCCCCACATACATTAGTGGAAAAACATTTCATAGTGTACACAATCCCCTCAGTACCACAATTCTAAAAAGCTCTTATTTTTATAATTTCTCCATTTCTTGGATTTTCAAAATTCCTTAATATTGGGGAAATAAGCGCAAACTACTCTATCCGACAAGTGTGCGTCGTATGTGTTCTTGGGATTTTATCCAGATGGTTGATTTTCTACAGAAGGGACATGTTGGTACGCAGAGTCTTGGGGAGAATCTGAGACCAATATCTATATTCATGCAAAACATTCCAAGATCTTGATAATAACAAATCTGGCCTGACTGACTAGAATAGGCCTATATTCTGGATTCTTGATTGGTCATCAATCTTCATTCTTTTTGGACCAAATAGGGATTCCCTCAAGACTGCATTCACTTTCTAAAATCACACACAATCGCCCCATATCCTAAATCTATCCACCAGCTTAGGCTAAGGGGGGAATACACAGTATTAAGAACTACGAGTATGAAGACTTTTGAACAGGGGTTATTTCATTTCTTCACCTGTTGCCAGTTGAATATGAATCCTATATCGGGGGGAAAAAAAAAAAAAAAAAAAAAAAAAAAAAAAAAAAAAAAAAAAAAAAAAAAAAAAAAAAGAGTTTTGCCTGCTCACTCATGCTTTCTTTAAAAATGGTACATGCTGCATAAATTCTCCAAGGGTATGCAAACCTTTGAGCGCAACTGTATAAAGTTAACTACTCACCTTTATTTAGTGAGCTTTCACACTTACTTTCCACCTGGCATTCGTACCCACATTCTTGGTTTGGTAAAATATGCGCACTCAATGTCATACATCCCCAAATTGCTTTATTTCTTCAGGGTCTTCCCAATCCCAGTTCCAGCACATGTCCTTAGAAGGAATATGCTGAAATTTGGGGGAGCCGTAGACCACATATTGCAGCCTATATTCTATACTGGAGGAAAACCCTGGGTGACTGCAATGTCCCCAACCTGTGTAAATATTACATGGCAGTACAAACTGGGCCGCTAACAAAGCTTCACACTACCACTGAACTCCCTCTAAGGGTCTGTGCGAACATTGTGTTTTGCTTACCTAGAGGCCGAGCATAACCCAATGGTCTAATGTGCAATGTCCTGTGACGTACGATTAGGAAAATGTAGCAGAAAGCAACATGGCACTGTAGGATGAGAGGGGTTATAGCCTTAAAGTAGAACTATAGGCAAAACTTTTTCTTGCCATTTTGGATACAGCAAGGGGGGTATAACCCCTATTGCAGTGGGAAAAAAAATTATTTGATACCCTGAAGATTTTGTAAACTTGCCCAGATATCAACCAAAAATCCAGAAAAAACACAATACAAATGTTAAAATTTGAGTTTCAGTTCAGTGAGTGAAATAAGCATTTCATCCCCCACCAACCAACAATAATTCTGGCTCCCACAGACTGGCTATGTGCTCATGTGGTACACAGATTAGTCCTGTCAATTTAAGAAGGTGCTCCTAACAACTTGTTATGTGTATAAAAGACACCTGCCCACAGAAATCTCTCTTCCATTCAAACCTCACCATTATGGGCAAGACCAAAGAGCTGTCAAGAATGTAAGGGACAAGATTGTAGACCTGCACAACACTGGAATGGGCTACAAGGCCATCAGCAAGAAGCTTGGTGAGAAGGACACAACTGTTGCAGCAGTTATTTGCAAATGGAAGAAATACAAAACAACCATCAATCGCCTTTGGTTTGGAGTTCCAAGCATGATTTTACCTCACTGGGTATGGCTGATCATGAGAAAAGTGAGGGATAAGCCCAGAACTACATGGGAGGAGCTTGTGAATGATCTCAAGTCAGTTGAGACCACAGTCACCAAACAAACCACTGGTAACACAACATGCCACCATGGACTGAAATCCTTCAGCCTGCAAGGTCCCCTTCCTCAAGAAGGCACAAGTACAGGCCCATCTGAAGTTTGCCAATGAACAAATGATTCCGTGAAGGATTGGAGGAAGTGCTGTAGTCAGATAAGACCAAAATTAAGCTCTTTTTGCATGAACTGACTCGACTTGCCATGCATGGAGGAAGAAAAATGCTGACTATGACCCTAAGAACACCATCCCAACAGTCAAGCACAGACGTGAAAACATTATGCTTTGCGGCCATTTCTCTGCTAAAAACATACAGGCCGACTTCGCCGCATTGAGGATAGATGGGGCCATGTATTGTAAAATCTTGGATGAGAACCTTCCTCCCATAGCCAGAACACAGAGATGGGTCATGGATAGGTCTTCCAGCATGACAATGACACAAAACATACTGCCAAGGCAACAAAAGATGCGGCTCAAGAAGAAGCATATTAAGGTCATGGAGTGGCCTAGTCTCCAGAACTTAATCCTATAGAAATTTTATGGAGGGAGCTGTAACTTTGAGTTGCCAAGCAACAGCCAAGAAACCTTAAGGATTTAGAGAAGATCTGTAAAGAAGAGACCAAAATCCCTCCTGAGATGTGTGCAAACCTGGTAACGAACTACAAGAAACATCTTAACTCTGTGCTTGCCAACAAGAGTTTCTCCGCCAAGTACCAAGTCATGTTTTGCTTGGGGATCGAATACATATTTTACTCATTGAATTGCAAACTCAATTTATAACATTTGTATCTTGTGTTTTTCTGTATTTTTGGTTGATATTCTATCATGTAAAAGTGATGTTCTAGCATTTAAAAATACACCTATGATAAAAATGATAGACCTTTCATTTCTTTGTAAGTTGGCAAACTTACAAAAACTGCAGGGGATCAAATAATTATTTTCACCATTGTAAATTTTTTTTTCACATCTGTCTCATTTCAGAGATTTCCCTTCATTTCCTGTCCCATATCTAAACAGGAAGTGAAAGGACATTCCTACAAATTAAGGGAATCCCTTGGGAACCCCCAGCTCATCAGAATTAGTTCTTCCATTTAAAGATTTCCGCTTTATTACTTTTCCGGGGACAACCCAAAATTTGGGATTTTCTTTTACTTTCACGGATAACAGTAAACAGGACAAATACAGAGGGTGAATTTCCCTAAAGGAGGCACATAAAGCAATAAAAAACTGACAGGGTTCTAAACCCTCTGCCCTCTGTGCAAACTAAAACAAAGGTCTGCCTTTAATTACACTTTAAGGGGGCTTGCCTTCTGTTTTCTATGTGCTTAGTGTCCATTTCTCTTGTTCGTGGCAGTAAAACCCTAGGTTAATTATTAAAGCGGGGTCCCTCAGAGCTATCACCAAAGTAATACTCTATAGCATTCCCTTTCACGCCTTCCAAGACAAATACATAAAGATTTATTCCATGGAGGTGAAGTGAGGGATGGAGTAGTTGGGCAAGTATGGCATGCCTCATTTTTTAACTTGGAAATCACTGGAATTCAGTGAAAAATATTAAATAAGCCAAAAACAAACATACAACCAACCACAAATACACTTCAAATAAGTTACAGATGCATGTAAACTTCCATGCAGAACCACACATTGAATACAAGGGGAAATAAGCCCTTAGGAAAAAACACTGCAAGTACAGTGAGGCATGATGCCAAGTATACTTAAAATAGAGTTTAGGTTTCCTTCCCTTTGCAGTGTGTTACATGTTCTGCTGAGGGATTTAGCCAAATAGTTTTTCTTTCACAAATATTGTATTTCACATTTGGTCAACTGTTATTTAAATATCAATACGTTAAAAGGAGTGAACAAAAGCACAGTAGTAGTAAAGTTTTGATTTGGTAGTCACCTCATGTAGTGAAATTCTAGAGCAAGATCATTCCAGTGTTTTTCATCTGGAGGTACCACAGACTTCAAAGCACAGGGAAAGTGGCCACCCCAGCTGTCACACAGATAGACGACACCATACTGGCCCCTTCCTAGCTCACGTCCTAACTTTGGTTTTCCTGGCAAAGTGGGGGAAAAAAATGAATTAAAATAAGAAAGAAAAAAAAATGTATATTTATATACATACACAGCATAATAAATGGCATTCCAGTATCCCAGTCTTAGTCCGTAGGGGTAAATATTGTGTTGGCCCACCCTTTGCAGCTATAAGAGCTTCAACTGTCCTGGGAAGGCTGTCCACAAGGTTTAGGAGTGTCTATGGGAATGTTTGACCATTCTTCCAGAAGCACATTTGTGAGGTCAGGCACTGATGTCGGATGAGAAGGCCTGGCTCGCTCCTCTCCAATTCATCCCAAAGGTGTTCTATCGGGTTGAGGTCAGGACTCTGTGTAGGCCTCCACCCCAAGCTCATTCATCCATGTCTTTATGGACCTTACTCCGTGTACTGGTGTGTAGTTATGTTGGAACAGGAAGGGGCCATCTCCAAACTGTTCCCACAAAGTTGGGAGCACGAAATGGCCCAAAATATTTTGGTATGCTGACGGCTTAAGAGTTCCCTTCACTGGAACTAAGGGGCCAAGCCCAACCCTTGAATAACAACCCCACACCATAATACACCCCCCCCCCTCCACAAAACTTTACACTTGGCACAATGCAATCAGGTTAGTACCGTTCTCCTGGTAACCGTCAAACCCAGACAAGGCCATTGGATTTTAGACAGAGAAGCATGATTCATTACTCCAGAGAACATTTCTCCACTGCTCTCGAGTTCAGTGGCAGAGTGCGTTACACCACTGCATTCAACTCTTTGCATTGCACTTGGTGATGTAAGGCTTGGATGCAGCTGCTTGGCCATGGAAACCAATACCATGAAGCTCTCTATGTATGGTTGTTGTGCTAATCTGAAGGCCACACGAAGTTTGGAGGTCTTTAGCTCTGGCCTCTGCAGACAGTTGGCGGCTTCTGCGCAGGTCAGCATGTATTGACCACATTCTATCATTTTACATGGCCTACCACTTAGTGGCGGAGTTGCTGCTGTTCCCAGTTTCTTCCACTTTGTTATAATACCATTAACAATTGACCATGGAATATTTAGTAGCAAGGAAATTTCACAAATGGACTTATTGCACAAGTGGCAACCTATCACGGTACCAAGCTTGAATTCATTGAGCTCCTCAGAGGGACCCATTCGGTCACAAATGTTTTTAGAAGCAGTCTGCATGCCTAGCTGCTTTAATACACCTGTGTCCAATGATTTGGAAGGGTGTCCCAATACATTTGGCAATAGAGTGTATGTACATACATAGAAATATAAGTTGACGTGACTGATGAGGAATGTTATTAGTACGAGAGTCATTCAGGGAGGGTTGGTGTCTGGCTAGGGAGGAAGGATAAGCATGTTGATGCTGTGTTAAGAAGGTTGTTGGGCAAGCATGGTACACGCACACACTATATATGTATAAGTATTATGTTCAGTCTTTTTAGTATCCTTTAATATCCCCAGGCATGATTCTTACCATGCAATAAAACATCCCTCAGAGATCTGCTCTCTAGTGACAGACGGGCCAGACGTGGTGCATGTTCTTTACGAACCTTTAGCCAAAGATCTTCAGTTTTCTCCAGCCTGCCAGAGTGACCAACTTCTAGCTAAAAGAAAGAAAATTAGTTGACTGTCAGCAATACATTGTGGCAATTATGGACTTTCCGTTAGCTTTTATTCTTGCTGCTTTGAACAATCATGGGTGCGCTGACACTTGCACTGGGCAAAAGGGAGTGGTCAAGAGCTCTGGCAGGGGGACCCAAGAAGAGGAGGATCGGGGCTGCTCTGTGAAAAACTACTGCACACAGTAAGTATAACACATTTGTAATTTTTTTTTTTATTGTCTTTAACCACTTCCTGACCAGGCCATTTTTTTGCAATACAGCGCTGCGTTACTTTAACTGACAATTGTGCAGTCATGCAATGCTGTACATAAATAAAATTTATGTCTTTTTACCCACAAACAGAGCTATATATAATCTTCATAAATTTAGGTCAAAATGTATTCTGCTACATGTCTTTGCTAACCCCCCCATAAGTGTATATTAATTGGTTTACGTGAAAATTATACCATCTACAAATGGCGGAATATATACACTGACATTTTTATTTATTTATACTAATAATGGTGGCGATTAGCAACTTATAGCGGGACTGCGGTGGGCATTCTGACATTGGGTAGGAACTGCTACTGACATCCCCAGTGACACTGTACTGACACTGGGCAGGAAGGGGTTAACATATGGAATGATCAAAGGGTTAACTGTGTGCGTATTACATTGTGTGCTGTTTTACTTGGGAGACATGCTGCTTTGTATCGCTTTGCTATGCAGAGATACAAACACAGCATGTCCATGCTGACAGGGGAGAGACCTGTGTTGTCCCCTGTCAACTTTTCCGACAATCACAGAGTCCCGGCCGGGACCCGGTGATTGACATCCCCAGCAGCCAATAGTGGCGCGGGTAGGGCGGCGTGCACGCCCCTACCTGGAAATACAAATCACGTGATTTTGCACAGCCATGCCACCCTGTAGCAGTACTTCTGCTATATGGCGGAGGGTAAGCATTTTTTAATAACATTAACTGATCCCCGCTCCATATAAATAGAGACCAAAGCAACCAAGTCAAAAATGAATGCATGATAAAAAGGCTGTATATTACACACATACTGTACATATATGCATACAATACATAAATTTAAAAGTAATAGGAACTATAGTTTACAAAAATATAGGTTTCTTAGATCATTTTTTGTCTAGATAAGATATTTATACAAAATAGTAACAAGTCACTTTCTAGTTAAAAACCAAGTTGTTTGTGTTTATGAGAAATACTGTATATCAAAACGTGCTTCCCTTTGAGACCAGCTGTCCAGGGCTTTTACAAGTTCACAAATACAGGAGGTGTAGAGTGCCACAAAATAGGTTTGGTGTCCTGTAGCATTTATTTCAATATAAAATGCAAAGTTAACAAGCCACCTTGTTTCAGGGGTCAAACTCCCCCTCCAGAGTTTTGTTTTTTTCTGTAAATGGTTGGAGTTGCACTTTTGAAAAACGGAGCTGTAATTTAGTCAAAATTATGGTACACACACTGCTGAGAAGTACAGGCAGATGCTTAACCATATATGCAGCACCTTTAGAAGTGTCTGACTCGTCCCAATTTCTTTTTGCAGCATGAAAACAAGGAACAAATGGCTAAATCAAAGAACTATGTGCAGGGCAGGAATTGTGAGGCAAAATGCTACATCTGTAACTAATAATCAGACTCCCTTAGCCCTCTAGTGAGCAGCTTCCATCAGGCAAAGAGGTAACATACTGTTCAGTCAGTGCCATTTTTTCACAGAAAAAAAAAAAAAAAAAAACCTCCAAAAACAAAGACTTCAGAAAAGAAGAAGTCTAAGTGCCGGGTCACATATATGCAGATTAGATAGGGTTTGAACTGCATCCAATTTACACGACATGTGAAATAACATTGCGCCCTGTGGTGCCTGTTCACATGTGCGGTGCATTGGCAGTGTGGACTGAAAAAGTCATGTCCGATTGAGTGAGCCCCCCCCCCCCCTTATGAACCATACCCAGGCCATATGCCCTCAACATGGGGGGGGGGGGGGGTTGCTTTGGGGCGGGGGGGTTGTTGATGGGGACATGGGCCTCTTCCCCACAACCCTGGCCAGTGGTTATGGGGGTCTGCGTGCCCCCAGATCTTGCCCCCTACCCCCATGTGAATGAGTATGGGGTACATGGTCTCGATACGCAATCACAAAAAACAAAAGTGTAGTGTGAATAAAGACAAAACATGGTCTTTGAGAAGTCCTTTATTAAAAAGAAAAAACTAAAAGAATGTCCCCCGCAGTAGGTCCAACGTCAATCATGATGCCCGGTGCCGACCAGAAAAAGAAAAAAAAAAAAAAAAGGTTCCGTTCACGACGATGGCTGCCATGTGACATCAATGTCACATGAGGCAGGGTCACTCAGGTGATGTCCCCGGGTGGCCCAGCCCCTTACCTATTTAAGAATTGGCAAAATCACCGAAGCAGGCAGAGGGCTGGCAGCCATCAGTGGGAACAGAACTTTTTTTTTTTTTTTTTTTTCCGGGTTGGCAGCGGGCATCGTGTTTGACGTTGGAACTACTGTGGGGGACATTCTTTGAAAAGTCCTATATTAAAAGAAAAAACTAAAAGACAGTGTCCTGTCTTTTTCCACACTACACTGTTTTTTTGTGAATGAGTATCGGGACCTTGTTAACCTCCCTAACGGTATAATTATATGGGCAGCACAGTGGCTAAATGATTAGCACGTCCGCCTGGCAGTACTAGGGTCGTTGGTTCGAATCCCAGCCACGGCACCACCTGCCTGGAGCTTGCATGTTCTCCCTGTGCCTGCGTGGGTTTCCTCCGGGTACTCCGGTTTCCTCCCACACTCCAAAGACATGCTGGTAGGTGAATTGGTTCCTGTCTAAATTGGCCCTACTATGTGTATGTATGAATGCGAGTTAGGGATCTTAGATTGTACACCCCTTGAGGGTTAGGGACTGATGTGAATGTACAATAATATATATGTAAAGCGCTGCACAAATTGACGGCGCTATATAAGTACCTAAAATAAATAAATGTCAATATTTCTGTGCTCAAAGCGGTACATTTTTTTGAATGGAAATATGTAGTTTATTGTAGGCCTGTAATTTTTAGGAATAACTCACTGAAATCTGTCCGAGCAAGAGTTTAGTAAACATTCCGGGTAGGATAAAATTTGAAACACGAAATTATAAATTATAATATAACCATAAAAAATATAATAATTAATTTAATTCAATATAATAATAAAAAAAAAAAAAAAAAAACACTAAAATTTTAAATATAGCGCCAAGTTCGCACATCACTGAGCTTAATCGTAAAATCATTTTCAGTGTCTGATGACGAATTTCCCCACGAATCATTATTGCTCAATTCTGCAAGTGGTTCTGATTTACTAATCGCTGTATTCTAGCTGGTTTAAAACCGTCTTTGACATAAAGGGACGCTTTTTGGACGCCATGGACGTCTCAGTTTCAAGGCAGAAAGAACAGTAAAAATACAGCCTGCCTGCCTGTATTTCACATACATTTTGTCCCTAGTGCTTTGTCCTGTGCCCTGCGCACAGGACAAAGCACTAGGGACAAAATGTATGTGAAATGGTTTGATACAGTAATGTTTTACTATGTGATTTTAGTGTATTTAGTGAATGTCACTTTTTAAAATTTTCAAATTTCGGGGGGGCGCATGCGCGGCCGGCTCGGGAATGGACGCGCTGTAACCAGAGCTCCGTCCACCCGCCAGCACTGAAGCGGCACACTACGACCCCAGGGAAAACCTACCGTACAAGGCAGCTCCCGGCAGGTACCCGCAGCCCACTGGACATGCCCCGCAGGAAAAAAAGCCCGTGGCAACCAGGGAAACTCACGAATTTCTTCCCGGCCGTTCAGCCGGGAATCCAAGATGGCGGCCGCCATGCGGACATACAGAGAGATGACAGAGGCCAGGAGGAGGACTACAGCTCCCAGCTTGTGGATCCCAGGCTGCAGCACCAGCTCTATCCAGGGGATCCTGGTGAGTTGTCACCCCCACTGTCACCCACATCCTGCAGCCCTGTTAAATCGCAGCCACGGCTAGACAGTGGCCCTGATGATGCATGCCAGGCCCTAAACCTTACGCCTCAGCCACCAATTCCCACCCTGCCTGATTTAGACGCATTTCCAGCATCTGATCAACCGCTGACTGAAATTTGCATGAAAAATATGCTAACGCTACTGCGCCAAACTTTGCATAATGATATTTCTGCGCCACTGACCCAAATTACTACTCTGGTGCAAAGACAGGAACGCAGGATCCGCCATATTGAAACCAACATAGCGGATATAGTAGAAGCCCATAATGATTTGATTGATGCTCATGCGGATCACGCGTCAGAAATCGAACAAATCAATCTGAAATTGGCCGATATAGAGGATAGATCGCGCCGTAATAACATCAAATTTAGAGGAATTCCAGAAACGGTGTCTAATGAAGCATTACTACCATATTTACATCACTTTAAGCTGCTAATCCCAACTCTCTCTGATGTAGAAGCCATAATCGATCGAGCACATCGACTACCTAAGCCTTCATTCCTGTCAGCAACCGTCCCTAGGGACGTGCTCGTCAGAATACACTTCTACCATATTAAGGAGAGAATTATGATGGCGGCCAGGAATTCACCTCCAATACCATCCTCACATGCAAATCTGCGCCTCTATGCCGATTTATCTAAGGCCACGCTTTCCAACAGGAAAAAAATGATACCAATCACGAAAGCGCTCAGAAATCACAATATGGCATATCAATGGGGATTCCCCACTAAAATAATAGTGCGTCATCAAGGCAGAATCTATACTATTAAAAACCTGGAGGCCGGCTTGGACTTCCTTAAGGCCTGGAGCATTTTACCAGTGGATACACAGAAGAACAACCCTGGTTCTGTTCAAAATATGGAAGCAACCTGAAGAGCTTAGCGGCATAAGCCGCGTTTATTTTTCCTTTTCTTTTTCCCTGGTTGCGCGGTCCACATACTCCGAATTCTGGCGATCAGCCCAA